AACCATTTATTATTATGCTGCAATTGTGCAGATAGACAAAATTGAAAATATTTGTCCAGTAACAGAAATGATAAGTAGTACACATGATAGGCTAACTATTGAAAGTTGGCTGACTTCGTTCAAAGAAAAGTTTATAAATGAAGTTGGTCTTTCATGGCCCCCTTTCAAGAATGTTGTTACAGACTTCAGTTGGGCTTTCATGCATGGAATATCCAAAGCGTGGAATAACAAAAATAATATTTTTGAATACCTTGATTTGTGTCATCAAGTTTTAACAAAAAAAAATGTAAAATTTCCAGACAATGATGTTGTAGTAAGTACATGCAGCAACCATTACATAAAAAATGTTATAAAGCATGCAAAAACAATTTTTGATGATGAAAGCAATGCATATTATGTATCAAAATGTGTTGGCCTCGTATTTGATATGGATAATTATGAAGAGATAAAAAATTAAGCAGACTATTAAGCAGAATACTTCTTTCCAAAAATGTAACACCTTTATGTAATAGTGCTAGGGCAGAAATGAATTTTCTTTTTAAAGGCAATAAAGTATTAAAATTGGAAGAAATGGACCTAAAAGATCATGTAGTGAACCCTCTAAATGAAAAACCATATTATGCTGAGTGTAAGAAATCTGCTTTCTATTATGATTTCAAAGAAATATTAGATGCTGTTTACATAGAAATATCCAATACGGTTGATGACCAGGGAAAAAATGACATGTATTCTGAGACATATATGTTACATTTTCTCATTGAGAATATACCCTACATTCCACTATGGAGTAGAGTGATAACAGCAAAAATTGGCTTGGAAAAACGTCAGAGCAACGCAACTGCAGAAAGTTGGTTTAATATCATTAAAAATCATGTTCTAGGTAACCAAAGAAAAATGAAATGTGGAAGGTTTATAGAAAAAACCAGTGCACGGGTAACTGCTATTTGGAGCCGTTGTGGATTGATAATTCCTAAAAATGTGCTTGCAATCAGACCTAAAAATAATGCTAATAATGATGATGAGTTGCACCTGAATGATAAAGAATTCTGGCTTAAAAAAGGTAAAAAACCTTCTAATCTTGTTAACTTGGGAACTATTTTAAGACCACAAAAAAGTATGAATACATTCAAAAATACTAAAAGTATAAGTGAAAATGATAAAACAAATGAAGTGTTGAATCGAAAGTTTGTTTCTGAGGTAAGTGTGCAAAAAGATATTGAACCTTCAGAGGACATTGGTAATGCTCATTATAGTAGTACAGAAATTTTAAATGTTGATTGTATAAACGAAACACTTGATTTAGTTGAAAAATATAAAAACGATGACACTAATAAAGATTCTTCTGTTATATCCTATGGTCATACTGTAGTATGGGAGCCATCTGGAGATGAATCACCAGTTGGGAAGTATAAGATGTACCGTACAAGTAATTTAATTAAAGATGGATTATATTATATGCATGGTTATCCGGGGTGTAAAAATTACATAGTTGCCAGAATGTCTTTTGGAAATGAGACGGTTGAAATATCTTCTGAAGACTTCAAACATTTAGATACTAAGGGCGAAAATAATGAACTTTGGTTAGAAAATAAAGAAATTTGGTGTTTGTTACAGATTTGTCTAAAAAGAAGTGAACGAACTTGGGTCAAACAAAAACAACATATGCTGGGATGTATGAGTCCAGATATATCGTACTATATGATCAATTTGGGAAAAAGAATTGAACCTCCAAATGAAAATGGTAAAATTGAAGGTATGGGTTGGATTGAATTTTCTAGAGTACTTATTCCTTTATTAGAAAATAATAGCCATTGGACACTGATGTTAGTAGATTTTACTAAAAAAAAAGTAAGTTATTTAAATTCTTCTAGATTAGGTCATGAAGACTTATCACATAAAATTAATATGAAAGTTAAAGTTTTAAATAGTTTGAAAAAAACGCTAATGAGTTGGAATAGAGTACAAGTAATTGGTAATATTACAGAGTGGGAGATAAATGATGTGACTATACCCTATCAAAATGATAGTTTTAATTGTGGCGTTTTTATGTTATATTTTGCAGATCAATTGATGACAAATAAAATAATTATGAACAAATTCGATCCAAATGATTACAGAAAGAAATTACAAAATTTGATTTTGAGTAATTCGGAGTGTATGAAAAACAGTTGTCTAATCTGTGGTGTTGATGAAGGTAGTTTTAACGAGAAAAGCAAAAAGATTGACAAAAGAAGTGGAGAAATGGTACAATGTGAGTCTTGTACTCGATGGTTACATATCAATTGTTTACCGAAAAAAGATCCATTGCCTGACAATGATATCAAGTGGATCTGTGGACTTTGTTCTGCAAATAGTATTTAATTATATTGTCACAGAATTTCTGATTGGGAAAGAAATCTGTGTGTGTTAGTTGTTAACTTATTAGTGCTACAATTTAATCTTATAATTATTTTTCGTTTTCATCTTTACTAAATTCCATCGACTCATTAAACATCTGATCTTTTATGATAGTATATACTATTCCAAGACTAGTGTTAGAAATGACTGTGTGGTGCTATTTAATGGTTGCTGTACATTTCTATTTTTTAAGTTTTGACTCTTTTAATGAAAATTGACATAAAAAAAAGCAGCTTAAAATTTAAAATGCTCATTCGGCGAATTTTATGATATACACCCCCTTTTCATATAAACATTAGTTAGACGGGCCACTGGAAAGCACTAATTTGTTAATAATGAACATGATGTAGACTGCCCAATGGTGAGTACATTACATAGTGGAGTTTCTGATCAGAAAAGAAATCCACGCTAAAGCCTTTAGGGAAAGGCTAAACCCTTTAGGGAAAGGCTAAAGCCTTTAGGGAAAGGCTAAAGCCTTTAGGGAAAGGCTTAACGTCTTTAGGGAAAGGCGTTCACGTCTTTAGGGAAAGACGTCCTTATTAGATACTCGTTATCTGATGGGGTAACTCTGCCAAAGCTGGTCCCAAGCCCAGTCGAAAAAAGAGGAGGGAACCATCAGATATATTTTCATATTGTATTTAAATAAATAGTTTTTACTTAAATTAATAATATTACATTTATAAGTTCAATAAATGACTAATATTTTAATATAGAATTATGAATTTTATCTAAATATTAAATAAATTATTAAGTTTAAAATTGACTTATACAATAAACAAACTAATTTTTTTGTATTGATATAGTAAACATGTTTGTAAAATTTTCTATTAGAAAAACTTAATTTCGCAGAGTACAAGTGATGGGTTTATTGCCCCCTATAATGATTTCTACATCATATATTAATACATGCCAATGTGTATTTGTACATATCGGTTTATAGGATTTCAATATTTCTGAAATATTGATAGTTTCTTTGGGAGAGGGTTATTGCATTGTTTGTATCCTTTATAAATACTTTTTCTAATAGGAAATTTTGATCAATGTCTTGACACGACTTAAGGAATTGATCCTAAGTGTATTTGAATGTATAAATACTTGTGAGTATTGATATTTCTTATATAAATGTTATATTTTGTTTAGAGTGGAAGTTGTGTTATATGGGATCCTTTCAATTGTATACATTTTTATATAGTTTTATAATGTATTAAATTGTTGTATATGTTATAAATATTTTTTGTACTTATATATTTATGTTTACTTTAGAATATATATTTATATTATATTTTTTATATATGACTGTGTTATTTTTACAAGGATTTTCGTTATACATTTTCAATTTTCGAAGTTAAGAAAAAATTAATTTAGGAGATTATTACCATAATAATTTCATTTAATAATTAGAATAATAAAAAAACAATTATTATCAAAAAGTATTATTATATATTATACATTCGTATAATACATGCCCACCTCAATAATAACTAAAACTAAAATTATACATTTTTGCTGTTCTTTTTTTTCATAGCATAATAATTATAATATATATACATTTTATAATTATAATGATGAAATTAATATTATTGGTACTTCTTTCCCTTGAACTCTAACAGTCAGGCAACCCAATGAACACTGTTATGGTTACCGTCTTATCAGTTTGTGGTTGGGCGCTGAGTCTCGGGAGCTAACTTCACAGAGGTAAGAATGGTTTGGTAGAAGTAGCAAGCCGGTCACCTGTTTCGTGAAAAACAATAGATTTATTCTGGGATCGAATTAAGGAGATGAGTGATCTAATAATAAGAATGTAGGGAGAAAGAACAAAATGGATTAGAAATTATGGCATTTTGGCAAGATAGAGAATCAGAAAAAATAGCAAATTTTTGCTATTAAAATTAATTAAAAATTGAAGTAGAAGATATAAAAATGAGAGCATTAATGATGACAAAGCATTCAGTGGTAAAAAAAGAAGAAGGGAAGAATCCAGCCGAGTATGAAATATTAAGTTCAGGAATAAAGAAAGAACAACATGTAAATATACATTACCCTCTTCACTAGACTATAGAATAGTTTTCATGGGGGTTTCGTTTACTCTATCTTTAAGTAGTGGGTACCTTAGGGAGGACAGCAATTTTAATTGAGCCACCTCCCACACTACTCTGCTGCCATTGAGCTATAGAATTATAGTTTAAATAACCACTATTTTGAATGACCCTTTAAGTCACACCCCTAACTACCACCACCATCAGACCCCACCTCTTTTATCATTCGCCATGGGGGGGAGCAGAATTTCCATTTTTATCCAACTTACAATGTATGTAGGATAATTTGTGGTCAGTGGCGTATCGTGTATATTTAATACATGTATATGTTATTCCCGTAGTGTCCAAGTACGATACAGACGACCAAAAATTATCCGCCGCATCCGGAGTATACAGACTTGTTCCAATATCTCCAATATTCATTTGTATCTTACTTTTTCCTTTAATAATTATCCGTAGTATTAAGGTAATGGCCTTTAACATACTAATATGTGTCTACCATTGGTGACATTAAATAAAATATATTTTGCTTTATTTACATAATACGCTAATGTATTATTATGGTCTTCTATAACAGTTAATATTTCTTTTTTTTTTTTAATCCCCTTATTGTCTGGGTGTTTGTTTTTAAATAATAAAGCCCCTTGCATAAGAAGTTTGCGACCCAAAATTCTTTATTGTGAGGGAGCCATAAGTTTGGTGACTCCACTATCCGTTCTACTATCGTAGAACGGACCACTATCGTGGCCCTATTGGTCACCTCTCAATTTAGTCAAAAAGTCAATACATATTTATTTAGATCTCTAGAATAGAAAAAATATAGTTGAACTTTTTGTGTAATGATAAATATCCAATATTAATTCCACTACTGATTAAACTCTGAACTCAATGAAGCATTTTATCATATAACTAAAAATATATAGTTTAAATATAAAAAAATGTTTACTGAACTATATCAATTTACTATTTAGCACCAACACTTAAATTTAATTAATTATATAGAAATGAACCTTATAGTGTTACAGTATTCAAATGTTAAATCAAGTACATTATACTTATTAATCAGTTATTTTTTTAAATATTAGAAAATAAACAAAGCATGGTATTCATTATCATTAATTTATTGTAACTATTTGATAAAGTGTATTAAATTTAATGTGATATTTCATGAGGAATCTCTTATTTTTGTTTTTTTTATGTTATAAAATGATTATTTTCTTGGATATCAGGCATTTTAGATAATCTAATTATATACATAAGTTTTTTGTTAAAGGGAAAATTTGCCAATATTATTATTTATTTGATAATAGTAATTTTAAAATTACAAATTAAAGAAAGCATAGTATTTATTAATATTTATTTATTGTAACTATTTGTGTAATTACAAATAAGTTGGACGATTTTTTAAGTTTTTATTTTTACTTAAATTTATCAAAACTTTTTATATTAATATCAAAATACATCATTTCAATAAAAATCATAGTGATAATTTCTATGTAACTCATAGTGTTTAAATAGATGCTACAATTGAAAAATTCAGATTTATATAAGGAATACCTTATAATTATATCCTATAGTATTCTATAATATACTGATATTCAGAAATATACCGTGCCTTGTTTTACCCATGATTTCGACCCTTCCTACTGTATTTACTAGTATTCATTTTATTATATCAATATTTTTCATTGATCAACAGAATTTTTTTATAGATTACCATGGTAAAATATAATTATACATTATATATTTGACAACTAATCTCTTAGTATTTTCGTAAAATTCAATATCAAAAAATTAATTAATTTGTTATGTTATGTATAAATCTGAAACATCGTCAATTGTAATTATTTTCAAATGTACTAAGTCAATTTGAAAAAAAAATGAGCGAATGTGATGAAAGTCAAACAAAATTAAGTGTACCGGACGAGCTTAGAGATATTCTACTTGATCTTACTATTGGATATTTACTTGAGCAACCCGGTGACCTAATTGATTATGCTATCGAATTTTTCGATAAGCTAAAAAAGGCTAAACATTTACAAGGTCCGGACGTCCAGTCTGAGGAATCTGATTGTTCTGATGTTGAACCACAACGTGCGCGTTATTGTTCTAGACGCAAGTCAGTATTTGCAGAAACATATAATCCCGAAGAAGATGATCAGGATGAAAGATACAAAGTTGTATTTCCTAAAACCGATGATCAACGTAATTCTCTTAAATTTAATGTAAAAAAAATATTTATATTCAGAGCATTAGATCCAGAGCAGATCAACTATGTCATTGATGCTATGTTTGATCGCCAAGTTCACCCTGGAGATATTATTATAAAAGAGGGAGATGATGGTGATAACTTTTATGTAATTGATAGGGGACTGTTTGTGGCGTATGTATCTGAAATAGGAGGTAGTGAACGTTTGGTACATACATATGAAAATAAAGGTAGTTTTGGAGAATTAGCATTACTTTACAATATACCCCGAGCTGCAACTGTAAAATCGATATCTGATGGTTTGCTATGGGTCATGGATCGTAAAATGTTTCGGCGTATTGTCTTGAAAACTGCATTTAAAAAACGTAAAATGTACGAGGATCTTATTGGCATGGTTCCTATGTTGAAATCTTTACAGTCATATGAGCGTATGAATTTAGCTGACGCCCTTATACCAAAGTTTTATGAAAACAACGAATGTATAATCAAACAAGGAGATCCAGGGGATGGTATGTATTTTGTTGAAGAAGGAACTGTCAATGTAGTAGTCACCAGTGATACTGGCGAGCAAATTAATGTGAATCAGTTAAAAAAAGGTTGCTATTTTGGAGAATTATCTCTTTTGTCACATAAAGGTCGTGCTGCTTCAGTTTTTGCATCAGGGAAAGTGAAATTAGCATTTTTAGACGTTGATGCATTTGAACGATTATTGGGTCCTTGTATGGAAATAATGAAACGTAACATTGATGATTATGAGAATCAACTAAATAAAATATTTGGATCCAAGCATAATATATCAGATATTCGATGAATTATTAGCAATTATATTTACAATTTCATAATTTTATACTGCTCAATTTTTCTCATTTATGTTTTTTTATATTACCGGGTTATATATAATAGTATATATTTCATTATTGATTACATGACTTTATGTAATATTTAAATGCAAAGCTGATGTTTTTCGATTTTGTAAGATTAATTTCTTTTATATAATAAAATAATAAGACTTTTATATATTTCACCACTAATATTTTGTGTTCTTGTCAAATGTGACGCAAGATCAGCTAAGTTTTATTTCATTACGTAGTTGTCAGAAATATTAATTATTGTAAATACGAATTGGTTTTCATTGTAAGTAATTTTATTACAAATATGAAATGTTTGTTAAAGTAATCTTTTTTTATTAAGACTGTCGTCACATAGATCATCTTAAAAGTCTTTATCTTAAAGTGTCAGTCGTTAACACAGTTAGAATAAACATCAAACCAACTTATGCTATATGATTAGTAAACTCTTAGAATAATATCTGTAAGTTATTCAACGATTTCGTCTAAGAACCATGTCACCTACGATTTTATGTTCATAAATCTGTAAAACTATATAGAACTTTCCATCTACGTACGTCCGGAAACAATCGACAACTTTTACAATGACTAGACAGTCAAGTTTTATGGCTGAGTACAGTGTTTGAGTGGGATACAGTTTATGACTGGCATATTGAGATAATTCTTCTCTGACCAGTTTTTTTCCGCTGAAATAATACAACATCGACTTCTATTTCACTTGCGTCTATTTGAACGTAAAACGTTAATATAAAAAATAAAACGGAAGCCCGTTGGGGTCGCAGCAAAGTGTGAACATGGTATAATTGGGACCAGTATAGATGACATCTGACAGTGATTAAAAACACTATCATAAGAAACGCTTTGATGCAAATCTGTAGATAATATTGAATTTTAAGAAATTGGAGGATAATTAAAAAAGCAATATTATAATTTTATAATTTTTACGGAGATATATAATAATAAAATAGTTGTATATTTCTTTACTTTTAACGCGAATAAAAATTTAAATGCATTAATTCAATACTTTTGAATCATACATTTTTGTTATTTATGAATAAGTACATTGTACTACAAAGGACTTTCATCAGAATCAAAAATTACTTTTATTAATCAACTTTTCACGCTGTTTTATAACCAGCAATTAGACTTTTTCTATCACTTCTAAGTGATAATACATAATACAATTCGGTATTGGATTTATTTTAAAATTTAATTTCTAGTTTTTAAAAAGACAACTTTATGTTAACGTCAATGAACACGTATGTGACGGATAAAGAGTGTTTAACCGGTATTATAGTAAAATAATAAAATGCGCAGGCGTGAAAAACCTTTTATTGTTCTTATAAAATGCATACGACAAGGATCATTAATGTGCGGTGACATCTTTGATATCGGAAATATGCTTGCCTAAGCGTCTGGTAAGCAATGATAACATTATTAGAAATTATAGTGCCATAACAATAGACATTGTCATTTTTTTCTCATAAAATGCATACGACAGTGATTACTACTATACGGCGACATCTTTGATGTTGGAAATGATTACCTAAACGTCTGGTTATTCTTTAAACGTATTTATAGTCTTTGTATCCATTAATATTTTCATTATATATTCAGTTAAAAATGAAATTTTCACTCTGTCGCAGTATAAGTATATATAAATAATAATAACACTATTTTGTCAATACAACATAAAATTTATAAATTATACACATGTTTTAGATACCAGTCGTTTTACGACGGATAGCTATTACTAAAAATTACTGTTGATATTTCTTGGTTGTTTGTACTTGATGGTATAATTGTTTCTTACTATATATATGCATCTGTTATATAATCAGCCAGCGACCGAAAAAATATTGAGCATACGTTTTCTCCACCAGAAAACTGAAAAAATTATATATATTTATTAAACACGTTCTACTTAATTTAAAAAAAAATGTAACTCACCTTTTGTTTAGTATATGCTTCCAGCATCGCCCACCGTTGTGCCAACTGCTGACTTGCAAATTGTTTTATTTGGCTTTTGTAGCTCAGATCGCTATTGTATAATCTGTTTCTAATCGTAAAATCCGAAACCGCATTGATCAGCATACATTTGTTTTCCACATTTAATTCCTATTGTGATTTCATAAATTGAACCATCTCTTCAAACTGTTGTAGAACCAATGGTTGAATTACAATTATCTTTTGATTGATAGCCTCTAAGATACATTCCAAAGCGCTGAGTTTTAAAATGTTTGATCGGGTGAGTAACACTCGGCATTCATTTTGTGCTTGTGATTCGAAGACTAATGAAGATTCTCCTTGAAATGTAGTCTTTGATAGTGTAACGTATTCATCCTTGATTAAAATAATCCTTTTTACCTGTTCGAGAATTAAGGACAGAATATTAATAATATCGTATGTAACGGGTTAACGATAGTAAACGAATAGTTACGTTAAATCGATATTTTGGATCCAATCCTATCTAAACGAATTTACGAGAATTGAAATTCAAAACGTAATCAGTGCAATCGATTAATTCACTGTGAGGTTCGGGTTTAACAAATGTTTGTTATAGAATTTAAAAATTGTTGCGAGAGAACCAGCCATTCTTGAAGCATAAAAATATCGACTTGAGTTAACACAATACCAACAAGTTAAAGCAACATCTGTTTATATGGAAACTCTTATAAAGATTATAACGCTAAGATTACGTCTTTGATGTCGGAAATATGCTTGCCTAAACTTCTGGTAGCCGATGATAAAATTCTTAGAAATTATTTGTACCTTTGATGTTGGAAATATGCTTACCTAAGCGTCTGGTAGCCAATGATAAAATTCTTAGAAATTATAGTGCCATAATGACAGATGTTGTCTTTGTTCTGATAAAAATGTATATCATAATTTCAATTTCGAGCCTCATTTTAGATCCACATTTGGCTAAACCTCTTTCCTACCCGACCGATCGGTGGATTTAACAATATATGCGATATAACAATGTACTCATAGGTCAGTGAAGTAAGCTTTTGCGGGTGCGACACAACAAACACGCGAACTCAACGTGTACTATAGGTAATATATACAATCTATAGACGTGCGGCAAGTTAGTCAACGTCGGGTTTCATCCGCACCTCTCCCATTAGATTAGTTTATGTTAAGTTTCATTACCCCCTCGCTCTTTAGGACTTGTTAAAGGAGGAAGAGATCCCCTCCCGACTTAGGTTAGTTTACGTTAGGTTTCATCCCCACACCGTTGTAAATTGAATTGAATTACGTTAGTTTACATCGAATTTAACAGACACCCTATGCCTGGGTGATGTAGAGGTGTGATTGAGTTGGGTATGTAGGACGTTCTCAACGGTGACAATTACTTAATAATTAAGTTTTACAATAATAGCTATTACAACAATAACATTATAGAGTTTTTGTTAACGAGATTGTTGAGTCGTTCTAGGAATAGTCAAGGACAGTGACGGCGGCGGCCGCTACTTGTACACAATTTCAATGTAATTCGTACTTTTAATATTAAACGTAATATATGTAATATATATTATCCTTTCCGTTAAACTATAAATCAGTTTACATGAAGATTTAGTTTACCCTATCCTCTAGTAGAAGGCTGCGTAGGAGGATGACGGCAATTTTGAATAAACCACCTTCCCCACCACTGACATTAAGTTATAGTGCGCATGCGCACTATAGTTAAAACCCACGTCATTTTGTATGACCTTCTAAGACACGCCCCTTACACCCTTACTCAATATAATTTATAATCTAATTTAGCTAACCTTAAAAAAAAATTTTGGTTTTTTTAATTTTTTCAGATTTAAAATATTTAAATTCAGTATTAGTAACATATTGAAATGTTGAAAATTGATATAAATATTATTAAAAATGTTTTCGACGACATTGTGATAACTGATTTAAGTTTAAAAGGCTGATTAGAACTGATCTCAGAGCTTATAGGTCTTTATGTGGATCTAATACATAGATTGCTGTAATAATTGGCCAGCATTGTTCATTTGTATAAATTCTTAAGCTCCAGTAAAATTGTTTAATTGTTTCAATAAAAATAATTTTGATAGTTTAATTAAACAAGATATATTTTTTTATCGAACGATTTATATTAGTTATCATTTACTGAGGAACACGACTTACAACCTGGTGGAGCAGCTGGTTGACACGGTAATTCTGAAGAACTAGAGCAAGAAGTAGGTACCTGATAAAATTTTTAAAATGTATATATGATTTCTTTACATAACTTTATTTTAATATTTACTGCTATTAATCTGATCCTTTTAGACTGTAATAAAACAGTAATTGCATCCACTAAATTACGAGTATTTTTTTTACTGGTCAAGAAACTTTTTGTGCCATAACGCCGAGCAATCTTGTCAATTAATCCAGCGTAAGTGATACCTTTGGGACACTTATTTATATGCTGCATAATAAAGCATCTTATAATCCAATATCCAACTCTACGTGGACATCCACTTCTTCTGGGAGCCATTTTATAGTACTTAACTTGAATAATAATAAACACATAATAATAATGAAACTTTATTTAATCATTTATTGCTATGTTTCATAATAGTATTAAAAGCCAGTATTATTACATAAACTAGGTAGGATTAAAAACGTTATGTTGTTTTAGCTTCGATGCGAAGCGGAGAAGGTATTAATTTTACTATGATGTGTTTTTTTTTATTTTTTTTTTATGTCTATTGCCACTTTTTCTCAGCTCTCACTGGACCGATTTCTTTCAAAAATACGTCAAAAGATCACAAATCGTATCTAGTTGAAGACATTACCCTTAAAAATTGAAAAAAATTCCCTCGTTCCCCGAAAATGGGAGAAATATCCAAAAAAATTACAAATTTAAAAATCGCTAATTTTCGAAATTTTTTCACTTTTTTTTCTTAAATCTTCCATAACTTTTTGAAAAATCAACAAATCAACATAAATTTTTTTTATACTAAAACCTTAGATATTTACCTTTCATTTGATATCATTTTTTTGAAAATCTAACACTTAACCTGCTCATTGGGGGAGATTTAAAATAGCAACTTTTTTACAAAAACTAACTTTTTCAACTTAATTTTTGAAAATGTTCCGGAAATACTGCGTCCTTTAAACATATATCAAATTAAAGCTTATTTTATGTACTATAAAATGAAAAAAAAAAATTTGTCCCGACACTTTATCTTCTGCATGTAAACGGTTGCCGTAGTTAAAAAAACACTATTTTTGTGTTAAAATTTTCGATTTTCAATTTTTAATTTTCAACTTAAAAATGCTATAACTTTTCGAAAAATGCATGTATCAGCACAATTTTTTTTTTTCTAAATACATTATAAGTACATCTTCCATTTGACATACTTTTTATTAAAATTAGACAATTTCCCCTTATATAGGGGGGGTTCAAACTTTGAAACATTGTATAAAAAATAGAACTTTTTCAACTGAACTTTTGAAAATGTTCCGGAAATACTGCGTCCTTTAAACATATATCAAATTAAAGCTTATTTTATGTACTATAAAATGAAAAAAAAAAATTTGTCCCGACACTTTATCTTCTACATTTAAACTGCTGCCGTAGTTAAAAAAACACTATTTTTTTTTAAATTTTCAACTTAAAAATGTTATAACTTTTTGAAAAATGTATATATCAGAACAAATTTTAGCTTCGATGCGAAGCTGAGAAGGTATTAATTTTACTATGATGTGTTTATTTTTTTTTTTGTGTCTGTCACTACTTTTTCTCAGCTCTCACTGGACCGATTTCTTTTAACAATACGTCAAAAGATCACAAATTGTATCTAGTTGAAGACATTACCCTTAAAAATTTAAAAATTTTCCCTCGTTCCCCGCAAATGGGGGAAATATCCAAAAAAATTACAAATTTAAAAATCGACAAATTTTGTCATTTTTTTCACTTTTTTTTCTTAAAACTTCCATAACTTTTTCAAAAATCAACAAATCAACATAATTTTTTTTTAAACTAAAACCTTAGATATTTTCCTTTCATTTGATATAATTTTTTTGAAAATTTAACACTTAACCTGCTCATGGGGGGGGATTTAAAATTGCAACTTTTTTACAAAAACTAACTTTTTCAACTTAATTTTTGAAAATGTTCCGGAAATACTGCGTCCTTTAAACATATATCAAATTAAAGCTTATTTTATGTACTATAAAATGAAAAAAAAAAATTTGTCCCGACACTTTATCTTCTGCATGTAAACGGTTGCCGTAGTTAAAAAAACACTATTTTTGTGTTAAAATTTTCGATTTTCAATTTTTAATTTTCAACTTAAAAATGCTATAACTTTTCGAAAAATGCATGTATCAGCACAATTTTTTTTTTTCTAAATACATTATAAGTACATCTTCCATTTGACATACTTTTTATTAAAATTAGACAATTTCCCCTTATATAGGGGGGGTTCAAACTTTGAAACATTGTATAAAAAATAGAACTTTTTCAACTGAACTTTTGAAAATGTTCCGGAAATACTGCGTCCTTTAAACATATATCAAATTAAAGCTTTTTTTATGTACTATAAAATGAAAAAAAAAAATTTGTCCCGACACCTTATCTTCTATGTGCAAATGGCTGTCGAAATTATAAAAAAAATGTAATGTTTACGATAAAAATCACCTTCTATCGGAATGTTTTTTGTACTTAAAACTGCCATAACTTTTTCAAATATTAACTAATCAAAATAATATTTCTTTATATTGAAACCTTAGGTAATTTTCTTTCATTTTATATCATTTTTTTTTGAAAATCTAACACTTATTCTGCTCACAGGGGGGATTTAAAATAGCAACTTTTTTACAAAAACTAACTTTTTCAACTTAATTTTTGAAAATGTTCCGGAAATACTGCGTCCTTTAAACATATATCAAATTAAAGCTTATTTTATGTACTATAAAATGAAAAAAAAAAATTTGTCCCGACACTTTATCTTCTGCATGTAAACGGTTGCCGTAGTTAAAAAAACACTATTTTTGTGTTAAAATTTTCGATTTTCAATTTTTAATTTTCAACTTAAAAATGCTATAACTTTTCGAAAAATGCATGTATCAGCACAATTTTTTTTTTTCTAAATACATTATAAGTACATCTTCCATTTGACATACTTTTTATTAAAATTAGACAATTTCCCCTTATATAGGGGGGGTTCAAACTTTGAAACATTGTATAAAAAATAGAACTTTTTCAACTGAACTTTTGAAAATGTTCCGGAAATACTGCGTCCTTTAAACATATATCAAATTAAAGCTTATTTTATGTACTATAAAATGAAAAAAAAAAATTTGTCCCGACACTTTATCTTCTGCATGTAAACGGTTGCCGTAGTTAAAAAAACACTATTTTTGTGTTAAAATTTTCGATTTTCAATTTTTAATTTTCAACTTAAAAATGCTATAACTTTTCGAAAAATGCATGTATCAGCACAATTTTTTTTTTTCTAAATACATTATAAGTACATCTTCCATTTGACATACTTTTTATTAAAATTAGACAATTTCCCCTTATATAGGGGGGGTTCAAACTTTGAAACATTGTATAAAAAATAGAACTTTTTCAACTGAACTTTTGAAAATGTTCCGGAAATACTGCGTCCTTTAAACATATATCAAATTAAAGCTTATTTTATGTACTATAAAATGAAAAAAAAAAATTTGTCCCGACACTTTATCTTCTGCATGTAAACGGTTGCCGTAGTTAAAAAAACACTATTTTTGTGTTAAAATTTTCGATTTTCAATTTTTAATTTTCAACTTAAAAATGCTATAACTTTTCGAAAAATGCATGTATCAGCACAATTTTTTTTTTTCTAAATACATTATAAGTACATCTTTCATTTGACATACTTTTTATTAAAATTGGACAATTTCCCCTTATATAGGGGGCGTTCAAAACTTAAAATATTGTAAAACACATAGATCTTTTTCAACTGAACTTTTGAAATGTGTCCGGAAATATTGCTTCCTTTAAACATACATTAAATCAAAGGTTATGTTATATACTATCAAATGAAAAAAAAAATTTTTCCCGACATCTTATCTTCTATGTGCAAATGGCTGTCGAAAATTAAAAAAAAATGTAATGTTTGCGATAAAAATTACCTTTTATCGGGATGTTTTTTGTACTTAAAACTGCCATAACTTTTTCAAAAATGAACAAATAAAAATAATATTTTTTTGTATTGAAACCTTAGATATTTCCCTTTCATTTGATATAATTTTTTTTGAAAATCTAACACTTATTCTGCTCACTGGGGGGATTTAAAATAGTAACTTTTTTACAAAAAATAACTTTTTCAACTTAATTTTTGAAAATGTTCCGGAAATTATGCGTCCTTTAAACATATATCAAATTAAAGATTATTTTGTGTACTATAAAATAAAATAAAAAATTTGTCCCGACGACCTATCTTCTATGCGCAAATGGCTACCATATTCAAAAATATGCTATTTTAACAAATTTTTTTTTTTTTTAATTAAACACTGTCTACAGATTTGCATCGAAGCGTTTTTTATGATAGTGATTTTAATCACTGTCATAACTGTCACTAATATATACTGGACCCAACTATGCTACGACACCACTGTGCCGCCATCTCACTGTGCTGGGTTTTTTTATATTATGATTTTGACCCTATAAACGAAATATTAGATAAAAATAAAATAATTGTAACAAAAAACATTAGGAATGTTAAAAAAAAAATTGTGTATCAAAATTTTTATTAAAGTTAATATTTTATCTATTTTATCATTGAATTTTTTTCCTAAAAAATATTACAGGAAACTTAAAATTATCAGATCAATTAAATTCCAGGAAAATTGAGCGTATAATATGTTTAATAATACGTATACAAGTGTACTAATAACACGGTATTAAAAAATAACTTAGGAGTTCACCTAAATATTTTAGAGTTGTTCAATCCAAAATAGCATCTATTGCATGCATGTATTTTTGTTTTTATCTTTTCTTGTATTTCATTATTCTGAGTTATAAGTGTACCTAGGTAATTGAACTTCTGTACTTTGTTAAATTTATAAGACCCCACTTCCAGAGGAGTGTGTACATTAGGGTGGCCCTCAAAAATCGAATGTGTTTTTTTTTTTACGCTACCCCTTAATTTTTTTTTAATGGTCAAAAAAATGAGCTGTGCAAAATTTGGGACCGATCCGTTAAGGTTAACCCGTGCCCCCGGGCCTATTAAGTTGAGTCGAAGAGTCAAATTTAATAGAAATAACTGATCTATGTCTCATAACTTTTTTTTCTCTTAACTTAGAATAATAAAAGTAAAACTCAAGTAAAGGAAATTTTACAAGAAATTCAAAAATAATAACTTCAATGTTGTTTTCTCAATAAATAGCCCACAAAAACACTACATACAGTAAAAAACATGTAAAAGTCTTAAAATTTATAATAACGTTATAATAACTTAACTTATAATAACGTTATAACTGATTTTGTTGATTTTTAATTATTTATTTTCATTTTATTTTTTAGAAAACGCATATTCGTTTAAAAAAAGATTCTAGAAGTTTAATTTTTTATGCCAAGTACGATAATTATATTAGATTTATTATTTTATGGACAGTTAATTAATGATTAATTACAAA